AAATGGAAGATGAAGATTTGTTCGAGAAATTGGGGGTGTCATCTTCCAAAAAATAATATATACTCATTCCTTTGCATCCTATATTGAAATTTAAACAATTAAAAACATTATAAACTTAAAACATAACCTAATTATATTAACATATTCACAAATCACAATCTTAAAAAAATAAACGAATTCAATTCTCAATTCTGCTATTCACAATAACAAATTTATAACAATAAATTAAAATTTTCACAATTTACAAATAAAAAAAGAAATATTCAATTTAGATAATTAGATTCAATTATGCAAGAAAAAAAGTCCGGCAAAATATAAATGGAAGATTTGAAGATTTGTTCTTTAAATTGGGGGTGTCACCTTCCAAAAAAAATGCATACTCATATTTCTAAAGCAAGTTTCGAACTCAAGACCACACGCCCCAATGCAGCACGCAGAGCATACAACTCCTTCAACAGGTACAAGTTGAAACTTGCAGCGTTTGTTAAAATATACTGTATATACTAAATCTAAGTATACACTTAGAAAATTGTATGTATATATACAAAAAAAAATTATAATTTCTGTGGGGTCGCTTGACCCCGTATGACCCAATGTGGGTCCACCCCTGCGTGAGGGCCATCCATCTGTTGCCCCCAACTTTCTTTTTTTTCTTATTTCAACCAATCAAAATTTAACATACATGCACACTTTATCGTATTCTTTTACACTCACTGTAACACAATTTTCATCACTTCACATCATACATCTTTACATCCCGTCAAACCCTCTCTCATAACACATGGCCTTGATGCATAAAAGTTAATATTGTTTGAGTGTCTTTACTACTTTCTTCATTCTTGAGTATTTGTTCACCTTTAACTTTTTTTAGTTAAAATTGATAAACTTTAATCTCAAATTAAATAAAAATGATAATAGATATTGATAGAAAAATAGTTCTATTAGATTTATTATATGAAATATTTACAAAATAGTACTTTATCTAATTAATATACAATATATGAAGTATATTTTATTTAATTATAGCCTGATAGAAAAAAGTTGACTGAAAAAAAGTCAAAACTGAACAAATATTCTGAGACGAGGTAACAAATAACTTCTTATTTTGAAAATTGCAACAGATGGTCTTTTACTAAAAACATATATGTATATTTAGTTCATAAAATATGTACATACTCCATATCGATTTTCACAATCAATTTCCGAGACGTATATAGTCTCGATCATTATCATGTTGGATTCTTTGCCATTACTTATTACTTAGACGTCAAACCAATTTTTGATATCTTTAGCTAAATGTATAGATTGCTGTTAGAGGAATATGGAAAACATCAAAGGAGAGTAGCCAAGGCTATATACCAAGCACTCTCTATAAATCAAAACCTCGGAGAAGAAAAACCCACCACGACAAGCTATATCTCGGAAGACACCGGAATCCTGCGTCTATACCGATACCCTCGTTGTCATTTGGACCGCACAACCGCGGCCGCAGTGGAGGAGGAGGAGGAGACGATGAATGACCGCCACCGACCACCACCACCGTGGGGAATCGGTGCACACACGGACAGCTCCCTCCTCTCCATCCTCCACCAGGACCTCGTTGGCGGCCTTCAAGCCTACCACAGCAACAACAACAAAAACCAACAATGCTGGGTCGAGGTCAAGCCTATCCCCAACACTCTCATTGTCATCGTTGGAGACATGATGCAGGTTTCGTTCGTGGTTTATAAGTTTTTGAGTTGAACTAAATAATCGATTTGATCAAATAATTTAACCTGGCTGGCTGTATTGTGCGTACGTACAGGCAATTAGCAACGACAAATACGTGAGCGCCAAGCACAGGGTGAAGGTGAAGGGGGAGAGGGAGAGAATATCGATGGGATATTTTGTGTTCCCGGAGGAGGAAGCCGTGATTGAGAGCTCCCGGTATACGCCATTCACGTATGCCGAGTTTCGAGCTCAGGTGCACCGTGAACTTAAGACCGCGGGATCTAAGATTCTTGGCCTCCACGCCTTTAAGCGCGAGTCGCCATTCTTAGCATGATCGATTGGGCAAACCGGTTCCGTGAAAACCAGGATGCGTGGGGAATTGGCTTGGATCCTTGATCAAAGAAAAGAACAAGTTAATTAGACCTTGTCAAAAACTGTGTATGGAAGACACTGCGGAGTACTTGTCTGCGCCGTTTGCTTTGTGTGTAATGAAGATTTGGAAATGTTGTTTTTGGCTTATTGTCCAATTTTTCTTTAAAAAAATTGTAGAAACTTATCGTTGATATTATCAAAATATTGGAATAATAATATTGCTCCTTGAATTATGAAGTACTCCCTCCGTCCCAAAAAGTTTGTTACGTTTAGAAAAAACTGCGTCCCGTAAAGTCCGTTACATTTCTATTAAAAAACTACTTTTACCCCTTACTTTTTCATACCCTACCTATCACATCATAACTTTTTTCTAATAATCTACCCATCACATCATACTTTTACCCATCACATCAAGGGTATTTTTGGAAAGTCAATACCAAAATATCTCTCTCTTAATTTTCCAAAGAGTCAAAGCGTCCCATTGTTTTTGGGACGGAGGGAGTACATGATAGAGTATATATAGAAGAGATTCCTAACACAACTAGGAATAGAGAATAGAGACTAACTAAATACAACATCTACTACAAATAGGATTAGGAAGCTGACTAATAATGAAACACTACCATAACCAATACTACCAGAAGTAATATTAGTATTATTGTCTAACAGATATTATGAATGACAATCCTTCGTCAATTTGTGCATACAACGAAAATAATCGCTTGTGAACTTTGGCCTGGTTTGGAGAATTTTTTTTGTTAGCGTTAGCATTATAGATAAAATTTAAATTGTGTAGATTAATTTTAAAACGCTAATAATAAATGTTAGCTATTGTCAAATATTTTATCTTTTAATGTGTGATTAACCCAAGTGTCTCATTATCAAATCTAATGATACCTACCCAATACTAATTCCATACTAATTAAATTGCTACATTTAAAGCTAAGTAACAAATTCCAGATTAAAAAGAACATTAAAAGTCAAAATTTAAGTGATTTGATTGAAAAACATAAAATAACAATTGATCGAAAAATATCGGGGTTATATATATATATATATATATATATATATATATATATATATATATATATATATATATAGACACACACATATATAAAATTGGACTTAGTGTTTTAATTTATGTGCTCAACAGACAAAGGTTAGGTTTTCATTCCCTTGTTTAATTTTTACATTCTTTTTTTAGCTAGGTATTTTATACGAAGGGTACAATTTTCTCTTGAGTTAATAGTCATTTTGGCCCCTCTATATTAACTCATGACTCAATTTGGTCCCCGTATAGAAAATTTGAATGGAGTTAGTCCTTCAAACACAATTTATTTCATAAAATTCTAAGTTATCACATTAATTGACGCAAGATCAATGATCCCGTGTATTAGTTTTTGTATCAATTAATGTGTTAACTTATAAATTTAAAAAATAAATTTTGCATAAAGAGCTAATTTGATTCACAGTTTTTAGTTACAAGGACTAAGTTGACTAAGCAAAACTTATAGAGACCAAAGTGACTCGTGAATACACTTACAGGGGAATGACTATCAACTCATTTTCTCTTAGATATTTGTGGCATATGTACTACTTGTTTTCTTCAAATTAAATTTGCTACTTATTGTTTATTCTTATTTAAACCAAATCAGATTCATTCATATCAGGTCAGATTCATTCAAATCTCGTTAGATTCATTCAAATCATGTCAGATTAGATTAGATATATTCAGATCAGAAAAGTACTTAAAAATAAACAATTTTAAAATAATAATAGTAGTTACAATTATAACAGCTATAGTTATTATGATTGTTTAATAATAATAATAACAATAATAATTAATAATAATAATTTATTATCATCATACTTAATAATAAAAGTAATAGTAATTAATAATTATAATAACTATTATTATTATTATTAAATAATAATTAATGATAATGATAATAACAATTAATAATAATATTTGTTTTTAAATATAATTAATAATAATAATATTTCTAATTAATAATTATATTCATAATAATAGAGTTTAACAATATTAAAAATAATATTCATCATAATTGATCTTAAATATTAATATTAAGAATAATAATTAATTAATTATAATAATAAAAAATATAATGATTAAAATAAAAATAATATTTTATAATTACATTTACAATTATTAAACAAAAAAAATTATTTTTTGTAATATTAATAATAATAATTAATAATTAATAAATAATAATAAAGTTTATCATTATTACTTAATAATAATAATAATATTGATGATGATGATGATGATGATAATAATAATAATAATTTGAGTTTGAATTATTTACATTCACATCAAATCAGATTTATTCAGATTAGATCAGATTTGTTCCGATCAAGTCAACCTTAAAAATTTAGTTAAGAACAGATGGACCGAAGAGAACACCCCCATACTTGGGGAGTGACGGAGGCGAGATTGTCATGTGTAAAGTGCTCTCATCACCCATTCATTTAAACATGTGGTGTGGTCTGAGGGTGATGAGATTACAACATAATTTCGTAATGTTTTTTATTTTAAATATTTCTCCAACACTCATTAATATTATATCTGTCCTATAATTAACTTCTCAAATTGAGTTTTCGTGGTCAATTTTTTTTTGAATTTGATTGCATACTGCGAAACAAATATATAAGATTTTTAGATAAATTTAATATCAATAGATTTATTTTGAAATATTCTATTTTTAAAATACATTTTTAGTTTTTCACCCCAGGTCAAACGCGCGACATTGGTACCCAATGACATTACATGATCGAGGGTGTCTATGATGCTTTGTTTGAAAAATTGATGGTTTCTGTCCGTAACCCCCTGACCCCTCACTCCCTTCGGTGATTGGCTACAATAACAACTGTAGCCAATCGGCTAATGGAAGGAGACCATGAGGGTTAGGAGGTGTAAAGACCATCAATTTTACAAACGGAACAAACACTATGGACACTTCGAATCATGCTATGACATTTAGTAACAATGTCATTTGAATTGCCCCATAATTGTTTTATACTCCATTCGTCCCAAATTAATTGCAACGTTAGCTTTTTCAGCAGTCGCGAAAATTTTTGTTTATTTCTACGTTATTATTGGTTATTTGATAAAATAAAATATTCTTGACACCTCTTATTTTGAAAAACTTTTCATGTAGTTTTTTGATATGTAAATTTTATTTTTTATTTTTATACCAATGTGTAAATAAAAAGGAATTGAAAAAACTTGATATTTTACCTCGGGAATACAAATGTGGCAAATATTTAGGGACGGAGGGAGTATATATATATATATATATATATATATATATATATATATATATATATATGTATGTATGTATATATATATGTATGTATGTATGTATGTATGTATGTATGTATGTATGTATGTATGTATGTATGTATGTATGTATGTATGTATGTATTATATTGGAGACTGAAAAATCAAATGTGAGGTTACTCTTAAGACGAAAGAGTATCTTAAAATGGTTAAATAAATACTCCAACAAACAACTAGTATTAAAATTTGGAAAATGCTAGGGGTACACCTTACCAAAAGTGTACCCCAAACATCCCCACCCCCTTCATCACCATAAAAAAGCAAAAAAAATTCAAAAAAATAAAAAATAAAAAATAAAAAATAAAAAATAAAAATAAAATAAAATAAATGGTAGAAAGGGGAGTGGTGTAATTTGAGGTACACATTTGATGTACTCCTAGCATATCCCTTAAATTTTTAAAGGACAACTTTGAATAAATCTAAAAGTAAAAAAATACATAAATAAATAATTTACAACTAAAATACTACTCTCTCCGGTCTTAAAAACTTTTCATATTTTGATTTTTTTGATCAAACAGTTTTGATATATTAAACTTTTGTGTCATTTATTTATATAGATTATATTTAATTTATGGTCACAGAGTGTCACTGTTTGATCCGAAAAAGTCAAAATATGATATGTATTTAGAACCAGATTAAGTAGAAACTACAAAGTAGAGAAAAAGCTACGGACTTGTTTGGGAATAGCGTTATCGATTAGCTTTAGCGTTTTGAAAAGGCTATCTACGAGCAGCGTTTAGCGTTAGCATTTTCAAATTAATCTGCACCATTAAAATTTTATCATAAACACTAACGCTATTTCCAAACAGGCACTACTTCTATGAAAATAAGAATTTTAAAAAAGTACACGTTGATCCTCACTACATATCTCATGACTTCACTTCAAAATCGTAGTCGCATTTGGTATCAATAAATAATTTTGTTGGGTGCTGTGGAGCGGGCTCCGGGCCTGAGCCCAGCTATTATTACATTACCGAGTCCTATAAAACAAAGGGGGGAATGCCATTCATCCCCCCGTTTTCAGGCTTCACCTCTTCGGTGGTTCATATTATTCCAGGTATTTATATTGCTCTGCATATATTCAAATTCTCCGAGCGGGATGCTTTATTCAACTTCTTGAGAACTACAGTTACTTGTTTTCGTTCTTGATTTGGTAGATATGTCAATGATGATGATGATGAAGAGCGCTTACCAATCTGCAGCAGCTCCGCCATGGCGGAATGTGTGTGAAAAATCAGAGATTTCATCATCTTCTTCTGATGATGATGATGACGGTGGTAGTGAAGAAACTCGTTCTGACAGCTCTGATGATGATTCAGGGCGGATCACTGCCTGCACTCCGGCGAAGAGGAGGAAATTGTGGTGGAATCCGGTCACTCCTGAAGCAGATTGCTGCCCTGATTCCATTGTTGAGTACTTGAACACGCCTCTATCTAAGCGTAGGATTTCGGGGGAGTTGAATATGAAGGTGAAGAAACATCTCTCGTATTCCGGATGGGCCATTGAATCTTTGAGGACTCAAAATGGAAATAGAATGCGATATGTTTCGCCCGATGGGAAAATATACATGTCCCTCACTCAAATTTGTCACCAGCTTAACCCTAATGTTGAGGAATGTGTTTCTGTTACTGTGGCTGATCGTACCGTGAAGCCCAACCCAAATGTTGAGGAATGTGTTTCTGTTCCTGTGGTCGGTCATACGGAGAATCCCAACCCTAATGATGAAGAATGTGTTGTTTCTGTGGTGGATTGTATGGCGAAGCCAAAGGCATGTCGAGAGCTTTATGCGTCTTCTCCTTGCAAAGCCACTGTTGAAGATTCTGATCATGGAGAGGATCCTCAGGCTATTAGTGATTATATGTTTTTGTGCAAAATTAAAAGTGTAAATCCCAAAACAAGGGCACTCAAGGCAGAAGCTAAGTTTAAAGCCATGAATCATCTGGTTCACTGCAAATGGGAGCTGTTTAAAAGCCCCAAAAAAGACAAATTGGAATATCGCTACAAGGCTCCGAATGGGAAAGTGTTTTACTCTCTTTTCACAGCTTGCGAATGGTATGCACGAGAAACAAATGTCGGAGGCCTGAAGACTTTGGGAAGTGTTGCTGGATCAAATGATAAAGAAAAAGATGACGAAGAAGTGGTTTTTGGAGTTGGTAAATATAGAAAGAAATTGAAGTTTTGCTTGGATGAATCCAAAACAAGTTTAATTAGAGATTCTTCTCAGTCTCAAACCAGTAAGCTTGTATCCTGTAAAAGTAAAAAGGGCAATATCTTGTCACGGCTGGTAGAGAGCAATGTGATTCCTCTTGAAGCAAAGGTGCAATACAGGAAGAAGGATGGATCTGTGTTAAAGGACGGAAGAATTACCAGTGATGGAATACTTTGTGATTGCTGCCAGCAAGTTTATGGACTCAGTAGCTTTGAAGCTCATGCAGGAAGTACAAACCACAGGCCTTCGGCATTTACATTCTTGGAAGATGGAAGGTCGATAGCCGAGTGTCAATTACAGGAAAAACAGAATGGCAACCTTAAACACTCCAACTTTATAGAACATGATATTATCTGTTCTGTCTGTCATGATGGCGGTGAATTACTTCTTTGTGATAAGTGTCCATCCGCGTTTCATACTGGTTGCCTTGGTCTAGAGGTACTTTCCTTCTAGTTACACTTACCATCAAATAAGTGTGAGGTTTATGGTATTTAAGTCCCTATCATTTTTTTTCAGGAGGTTCCACCTGGTGATTGGTTCTGCGCATCTTGCTGTTGTGGAATTTGTCACCAGGGTGGATTTCATGAGAATGAAAACCACCAGTTCACAGATAATAGTTATCTTTGCTGTTATCAATGCCAATGCCAATGTAAGTGATTATATAGTTTTGCCTATGCAAATGAACAGTATAGCGTTTAGGAGCATAGACATATCTGTGTATTGTAGGATATTTCAGAATGAATGGCATAATCTTGTAAGTGGATCCCCATTATGATATTTGATAACTTCTTGCAGATCATGTTGGGTGTGTTAAAAGTAGGGGTCTACTTGAGCTGGACAGCCCTCCTCCAGGAAAGTGGTTTTGCAACTACAAATGCCAACAGGTGCTTCAGACATGCCTTTCTTTTGCAGTTGTATGTGTTGTGCGAATATTTTGTGTTTGAGAACATATTTTACTATGCTGTCCATTTTTGTCACATAAAGCACGAATGACAGAAAATTCATTATGTATTATCTGCTTAATATGTGTCCAATCCTGCAAACGTTGCTTCAGAGGGTGTTTTTCTTAGCCGATGCATATTGACTTACCGTTAATTTTTAACTTATAAAAGGTTAGAGATAGTTTTGCAAATGATTTGGGCAAAACGGAGAAATGAAAACACAAGCTTAAAAATAAATAGGTAAGATCTACCATACTATTTTTTTTGACTTACAAGCCGCTTATAACTTATAAGTGACTAAGTGAGCTTAGAAATACAGAAAAACACATCATCAACTAACTTATAAGTTAAAAGCAACTTATAAACAATTTTGACCACCTTATGTGTACAGGGAAACACCTACTTAGTTCTTTAGTACTTGGCAAAATATTTAATTGTGTGATGTCCATTATAATTATCACCTTCTTCTCTTTTATAATCTTTAATATTTTCTCTATCATTCCTATCATTGTAGATATTTTCAGGTCTTGTTCAACTGTCAGGAAAACCAATTCCAGTGGAGTCAGTTAATCTGCTAACTTGGACGTTATTGGATTCTAGAGATGATAAGAGATATAGCAAGCTTAGAGCTGCCCTTGATGTGATGCACGAGTGTTTCGAGCCCATTAGGGAATATCTAACTCAGAGTGATGTTGTTGAGGATGTTATTTATAATAAACGGCGAGTTCAATCTATCTGATACATTTCTCTGCAAACTATATTATTATCATTATCTTAAGGACATGCCTAATAGTAAACAAACTTGTCATATAGGAACGCTAAGCTACGCCGTTTAAATTTTCAAGGGTTCTATACTGCCATCCTGGAAAAAAATGATGAAATTGTTACGGTGGCTACAGTAAGGTATCTCCTAATTAAAGACTCAGTTGCTTTAGTATTTTAATTTCTTATTGCTCTTAAAGACATATACTAAAATGTTGTCCTTTGACATTGTTAGGGTTCATGGAGAAAAGGCAGCTGAGATCCCATTTGTTGCCACATCGTTCAAACACCGGGGACTTGGAATGTGTCGCATTTTAATGAACCAGCTAGAGAAGGTATATTTTTGTTGCATTACAAATGTTTTTATCACAACATTCACAAGCATTAGCCCATTTAGCCACTCAAGTGTGCTATTTTTCTCCCAAAAAACACTTATTTCTTGCACAAGCCATCCCAAACCCAAACAAATGAGGTTAATTATGTTCCCACCCTTGTTGACAGAAACTTTCAGAACTGGGAGTGCAGAGAATAATTGTGCAAGCCATTCCTGCAGCAAAGAACACATGGACCAGTTCGTTTGGCTTCTCGGCGATGACAAAAGCAGAGAGGCTGAATTTGTCGGACTGCACTTTTGTCAACTTCTATGGTACAGATATGTGCCAGAAGCTGTTACGAAACGACACATCAACAGGATCAAGTAAATACTTTTCCAGCCATTGTTGAAGTCCATTTAGAGAATCTACTATAGTGATAGGTGGTGAACCAACAAACAATTTGACCATCTTTGTGCAGATGAGGTTGATGGCATTTGTCCTGTTTCACTAGCTTCGCAACCTGAAGAAATTCATAGCAGTGCAGGGCTTGAAGATCAAACACGAGACGAGATTATTTCTTCACTGCTGGGCTTCAAATAGGGTGACAATGTAGATCCTCTGCCATTCTTTTATTTGCTCTAGCAATCATTAAGGTCAGGTGTGAATGAGCAAATAGACATTTGAATTACAGAATGCAACAAAATGAATTATATGAACGTGCATGCATCAATTCCGCAATGTTCATGCCCTAATTTTGTGCAAAAAATATATATAAATAAATGTGCGATATAAACATTGTGTAACTTCTGAATGTGTATATATCGGATATACAATAAGCATCATATCCTAATACAGAGTACTAAGTATAAGAATTCGGAAAGGGTGAATATAAGTGATGAAACATTTCATGAAAAGAAACACAACTAAATTTAATCGAATGATAAGTAGGTTGGAGATTGTCCAATTCTGATTCTTTGCCCGATCTGTTTTGGGAATTGACAATTCTGATTCTAAAACAAGATAATGAAGGGGGGCTTCTTAGTTTGATTGGTTTTAGATATTGATATGGTATGACTTCTAAAATCTAAAAAACTGATGTGCTCTGAAAATTGAAATGAATTTCTTTGAAAAGATTTAAAAAATGGGTGTTAGCGATAGGATGACTAGCAGTTGTGTCTTTATAAAGTGATCAAAATAGCCTATAAATTGTTTTAAACTTAAAGGGAATTCATATGATTTTTCACATCAAATTTGTGTAACAAATTAGAGCACAATTTTATGGAGTCTGTTTAGTTTTTGTGCGTTTGATACTCCCTATGAGCAAATTTTTTTACAAATACAATTATGAATTTAGGGATGGCAGTTCAACCCGAACTCGATCTTAACCGGCCTGACCGACCACTAAAATATCCGAACTCGAACCGAGAATAAAACAATCCAAACCCGACGCGAAATTTTTTACTCGAACCCAACATTGAGTCGGGTCGGGTGTGGGTTTATAATTTTACCCGACCCGAACCTGCACCCAACCCGACTCAAATCCGAATATTTTATAACATAAAAGTCTATCTATGGATTATGGATATAATGACCACTCCGTATAATCTCTTGACAAGGTGCTACTATATCAAGTATGTCCTATATAATCATTTTTATAATTCCTTAATAAAAAATGAGACACAAAAAAAGAGATACAAAAAAATTAGATTTAATTTTTTTAAAATTATTGGGGTGCGTCGAATTGATTATTGGTTAAATTATGGATTCGGGTTGAAATGTCGGATTCAGGTCGGGTTTTTGGCTCAAAAAGCCGTGTTTTGCGTCAGGTTCGGATTTTGGTTTTAAAGGTCAGCTCGGGTTCGAGTATAGTACTATCCAACTTGAACCCGACCCGTTGCCATAAAAAAATTGTACGAAATACCAAGGGTAATGAGAAACATTATTATCAAGGATAGCCTAAAATCAATGAAATTAAAGTAGACAAATATATGGCGGCAATATTGACTTTATTTTGGCCCCATTCCTCAACTTGTTTTCCCAAAAGGCCCGTGACCAACTCAGTCACTGCGCCAGAGATTTACACTTTTGATTAATAAAGCACTTAACAAGTGTTTGGTTAATGACATTTGATAATTCACTATCATTTAGGACAACTAGTATTTCTACCCGTGCCATGCACGGGGTGGAATGAATTTTTTGTTTTTCTTCGCTACAACATTTTTAGAAAAATCAAAAAAATAAAACATCAACCTTAAAAGTTAGCATATGATAAAATATACTTCATTTGCCCCACAAAACATTTCTCCTTTTGACTTTGAAAGGATATAAAAAGAGTATATTTTGGTGTTGAATAAATTAATAATGAAAAAATGTGATGTGAAAGACATGTTAAGAATTAGTTGGGCTAAAAGTGATTTTTTTTAATAGAAATGAGAAAGGTTTTTTGAGACGAATGAAAAAAAAGAGAAATGTTTTGTGGCGCATGGGGGTATTATATTTTCTAATGAAAATTACACTGTAAATATATATATATTTGAAATTTAGCATGTCAGGCTCTTATTTAAATTAGAACATTTTTAAAAAATTAAGGTATATACTCCCTTAGTTCATGATTATTTGTCCATTCGTGACTTTTTCGGAAAAAATTGGTAAACTTTAACTTCAAATTAACAAAAATAATATTAGATATTAATAAAAAATAGTATTATTAGATTTATTATATCAAATATTTTTAAAAATATTGTTTTATCTAATTAATAAACAATATATATTTTATTTATTATAGGTCAAAGAGTGAAAACAGTTGACCGAAAAAAGTCAAAACTGGAGAAATACTCAGGCACAAAGGGAGTAACATTTTTGTATAATTTATAAGGACTGCCAAAAACATTTAAAACTTATAATTTCAACCTGACTTTTTTCTCACTCACTAAATAAAAATATTGGTGGAATTATTAAGAACATCAAACACTTTGTTGCAATATGTTTCCACAATGATATGCCCCCAATCTTTGTTCTTGATCTAGCATAAAGCCTCATTTACTTCAATTACATTCACTTCTCTAGGTCTAAAATATCATCTACAATGCAAATTATGTGCAACGATTAACGCCGTTGATAGTTTCGAGCAATAAAATCAAAACCCAAGACCCGATCGGCCAATCGCGTTGAAGCATCCACATTAATCTTGGCATAGACATTATACAACCGCCATTCATAGACAAAATTATGATTCTCCTCCCTCATATTGATTAAAAAATATTATTTTTCATTCCACGGATTAATTAAAAAATATTTTGTGACTCTATATATTATTATTCTCCTTGCATTAATTATGGTTCAAAGCGTATGATTCTTCAATTTTGCATCACTGCATTAATTTTGATTTGCAAAATAAATATTAATCATCTCCCCCACACTATTATGATTTTCCACTCTCGCATTGATTAAAAACATATCGGAATGATTCTTCTCCCTCAGCACAAGTCAAATATAAAATCATAGATTAGCAATCCTATGATTCAAAAAATAAAAATAAAAATAAAAAATAATTAAAAATCCAATGATTCTATTTATTAGCATTATTTAAAAATAATAATATTAAAAAATATTAACGATCCTATAATTTTGAATAGAAATTTACAAACATATTTGATACTATTGATAGAATGATAGTTGTTTTTTTATTTTTCATTTCATTTGAATACAAAATTACTCCTTTTTAAATTTATTTAATTTAAATATTTTATCATTTTGAAAATAGTCTAGTCATTTGTAGTATTTTAATGTAGAGATTAAAATATATATTTATATTTTATTTTTTATCAATATTTTATTAGATAAAATCAAAATTAAATTCATTTGAGCATGTCATAAAAAATATGACTTCTTAGATTTTATCAAAGTATCTCTTCTTAAGGAAGAAACTCTCATTTATTCATTGATAGTTTTATTATAAAAGTTTTGAAAAAAATACTAAATTAGAAAAATATATTCCATAATTGAATATACTAAAGAATGTTGTAATCATAAAGAACATTTGTGTAAACATAGTATGTCTTGGTAATACATTTTTTTATGAATATTTAATTTTAATTTAATTAAAAATATCATATTATAATAGATTTTAAAAAATATTATATTTTTCAATTTAAATTGTAATATATTTAATTATATTTTAGTAATCTCTTATTTTATATGTCGTTTAATGTAATTTTTAAAATATATTATTTGTAATTAGCTACCATTTATACGCCGGAATTATTCAACGATTATAGTCCCAAAGAATCGTTGGATTCGTAGTTGTTATGGAATGAAACCTTCATAATCTATAGTCTCTTTGCTAATTTGTGTTTGATTTCGCCCAGAAAAGGAAAGGAGATGATGAAGGAATTTGGGAGAAGGAACGGAACGCAGTGTGTGACTCTCTCTAGCGAAGAAACGGAAGATTTAGTTTTCTTTTTTTGGATCTACGTGATTTCTTCTTTTTTTTCCTTTTTGGTTTAGGTTTCATGACACCTCACCTTCCACATCATTTTTTAGTTTTCTAAAAAAATGACACATCAGCCTCGCCACATGTTGAGCCACGACTTCGCCAAATGTTACATTTCTGTAGCTCCGACTCTGCTTTATATATATAAAGGATTAGGAGTAATTTATACTCCATTTTTGGATTTCAAAGTGGGGGACATAAAAAAAAAGGAAAATTGATATCATTATTCTCAAACTTACGTTGTTATAATTAGATCATGTTCACACCACTATTTTTGGGTAATATTAACCTTATATCAACAGAATATCTATCCATATATTATCTCCATTCCTTAATATTTGTTTACTTTTGACTTTTTGTAGTTAAAATTGATAAGTTTTGACCACTGATTGAAGAATAAAATTTCTATTAGATAATAATATAAAAATAATCTTATTAGATTTATTTTATATAATATTTTAAAAGTATTATTTTATCCAATTAATATTATAATATACAAGGCCAAAAGTAGAAAATAGTTGGCTGCCAAAATATCAAAACTAGACAAATACTCAGGAACGAAAATTGTATATATACTTTCATAACTTGTTGAAATACAGTGTTAAGAACCTATGACCTAAATTCCTGTTTGCCTAAACTTGCATAGCATTTTGAATTAGTATTCATTTCGAATCAAATCAAAATCAATAAGAGAAGATGAAAAGAATAAGCCTGTAGTCATTCTTGTACATCAATTTTACGCGTATATTTCACTTCAATTATTTTTTTTAAGAGTAATTAATTAACTTTAATGCTTCGTATCAATTCCGTCATTCGCCTTTGAATAATTGGCAACGGCTTATAAGTAACGAAAAATACCTGATTTTAAAGTTTGGACTTTCGAGGCCGAAAAAGAAATATTTTAAAAAAAAGTGAACTCAGCTCTAAGTCCCAAAAGTTGGTTTATGAAGATGTCAATGCCGTGAGCCAATTGAATTGAATGATCGATTAACAAACGGAGCAATAAGTGGCGTTGTGGGTGTAACTCACCATATTCCATCCCTCCCTAAATTAAACTCTTCATGTATTGATTCCTAAAATATTTAAAAAGATTATATTTTAGTATTTAATATTTAAAAATATCTTTGAATTTGATAGGTAGAAATAAAACGTGATAAGCAAATTAATAGTGATTGGATATGATGTGATACATAAGTTCAGAATTAGAAGGATAAAAATGGTTTTTCAATAGAAAATATGATGATCGAAAAGTGAGTGATGAAAACTTTTTGGAGATAGATGGAGTATATAAAAAATTTTAAATACAAACTAGAGGTGACATGTATATATTATTTAATGAAACGAGTAATGAAAACAAATAAACAAAGCAAGTGATGCTTTACTATGCGAATTGTACATTATAAGATATTTTTTGCATGAAAGGAGTATCAAATATACTCTTTCAATTCCGTCTCAAATGAGATTGCAACTTTCTTCAATTTTTTATCGGACCCAAAATAAAATTCTTCTCTTCCTATTTTAAAATGAAATGAATAAGTAGAGAACAACATTTTTGGCCCCTCTAAACAAATTTTGTTCACATTGTTTTATTTTTTAAGAATATATTTGAAAAGAGAGAGACTTAGTACGTACATAATATAAATATCTCACAATATCTTCGTGAGAAGTCGAATCCGTCCACAACCCTCTTCTACACGAGAGACTCAAAAAAGAAGTAAAATTTGCACTAAATAGGACTAAAACATAATGTTTTTCCCAATATAGGACTTAAACTTTTTTATTCCTTAAATAGGACTTAATAATGACCTAGTGGGAGAAATAATGTCCTGTAATGATGAACATTTACTTGAATAATGACTATTTGATAATGACCAAAAGTCCTACATTGGGAAATAAAAACATATGATTCTATACTGAGAAAGTCATTATGTTTTAGTCCTATTTAGGTAAATTTCTCAAAAAAGAATTGACTTGATTATATGAGCAATGTTGGGAATAGACCAAATGTGTACCTCAAATGCACATCATCTATTTTGTTATCATACATTTTTATTTATTTATTTTTTCTTTACATGCATAAATGTACTCCATTCGTCCTTAAATATTCACAACATTTGCTTTTTCAGCAGTCGCGGGAACTTTTATTTATTTCGATGTTTTCATTGGTTATTTGATAAAATAAAATATTCTTGACACCTCTTATATCGAAGAACTTTTCATGTAGTTTTTTGATATGTATTTTTTTTATTTTTTTACCAATATGTAAATAAAATAAATTAAAAAAACTTGTTATTTTGCCTCGGTTATAGAAATGTGACAAATAATCTGAGACGGAGGAAGTATGATATTGGAGTATTTGGGGGACATTTAGAGTACACCTACCCCTAACAATTTTATTGATTATATATAGGATTATATACATGCATGTGAAGATGAGTAGGATGAAGGTTCACGTGTCCCTAACACATGCCCGTGCTCATAGATATAGACCGTAGCGCCGCTGGCTCCTGATTTCTCACTCGTGTCACAATTTTGGAAAAACCTATGTGCCCGCGGTTATTGTATTTCAAGAATGAGACACACAGAACCATTGTGTGTGTGAGACATAGACATTGAGTTTATATATATATATATATATACTTCCTCCGTCCTAAAATTAACTTCTTATTTTGACTTTTGTAGTCAAACTTTTTAAACTTTGACCACATATTACGAAAAAAATACATTGAATTTTCATATAAATTTGTTAGCAATAGATTTATTTTGAAACATAGTTTTGAAATATATAATTTTTATAAAATATATTTATATAAAAATTGAGATATAGATGGTCAAAGTGTCGCATTGGAGACCGTGAAAAGTCAAATGGGAAGTTAATTTTAGGACGGAGGGAGTATATATATATATAACTTCATAGATTTTTACTACCTGAATTATATAAATTTTATTTTTTTAATTTACACCAACAATTAAATAAATTAAATTGAGAATAAAAGTAGTCAAGTCCTGTAACACGTAATGAGAAAATTTTCTCGTACAGACAGTAAAATAATAACGGAATATTAAAAACAACTTCATGGGATTCAAATGACAAACACCGAGAGACACAGAGACATAACAAGAGGTTTGAGCCACTTTTTTCACCGGTCCAAAAGGTGGAATCGCCCACCCCAGGCGCTCCCACCCCCTTGCCCGACAGGAATGGTGGAGGATGTAAATCATGATGACTCAGTCGGCCAATAACGCTAGACCCGTGCCCACCGTGCACAAGGAGCCTCCTCACCCTTTATGGGATTTTTGGATAGCTCCCACACTGCCGCTTGCGGGATTCGATCCCTGGTCATCGGTCCAAGATTTCACGCTCTTGACCAACTGAGCTACCCATGCGGGCTGAGCCACTTTTTTCACAAATGCTATAGTGGGAGCGGCTCAAGGCATGGGCTAGTTGGTCACCGGGTGTGTGCCCATTTTCAGATGGAGCCTCAAATTTATTTATGGGTAATTTACCTAAATAGAACTAAAACATAATGAATTTGAAATTTTATTGTTTTTATTTCTATCATGTTAATTTTTGCTAAAAAAATCACCATCCGTCCTTATTTTGATGAAAATTTTATTTTTTCTCTCTTCTCGATAATTTTTGTTTATTTGTGTTTTCATTGATTATTTGATAAAATAAAATATTCTTGTCACCTCTTGTTTTGTAGAACTTTTGAAGTAGTTTTTTAATATGTAATTTTTATTTTTTATTGATACACCAATTTGTATATAAAATAATTTCAAAAATCGTTAGATTTTATCTCATAATTCCAATTTTGTAATCAAAATAGGAACAAGGGAATACTCGGTAATTGATAGATTTTATTTCACCATGATACAAATATCCATTTTTTCCATGTTGTGTCAGGCACTCATGGCACGAAATCCAACTCAGCTGAAAAAAACAAGAAAGACAAGAAGTGTCAAGGAGATAAGACTCGAATTTGATTCCTAGTAATTGCGTTGAGAGACAATTATGTTAAGCATAAGACATCTGCAAGTATTAAGTGAAGGCTCCACTCTTTGCCACGAATTTGCAATCAAAATTTAATTTACTTCTTTTTAATGACCGTCCGATCAGATCCTTGGAGATGAGCCTCATTATTTTCTCAATAAAATCACAAGTAGCCAAAAGAAAATGACTTTGACCTTGCTGAGATTTCACGTAACTCAGGACGTAGAGTGCACCAACACATTGTTCGTACTTGCTGAGGTAGAAACTCCGTCCCATATTAGAAGAAAATGACTTAAACAAATAGATTCCCTATTCAAAAATTATCTTCCCATTATGATTTTACATGTAAATTAAAAAAAAGTGAAAAATATGTTGACTTTTCATATTTACCCTTGAGTTATTGTATAAATTGAAATAAAGTACTACCTCCGTCCCATTTTATAACGCCTGTTTCGGTTTACGATGTTTGACTGAAATTATTTTCAAACCATTTTATATGACAAATAGTATAGAATTAAAAAATAAAAATTACATATTAAAAAACTACATCAAAAGATCTACAAAACTAGTAGTGACAAGAATATTTTATTTTATCAAATTGCTAACGAAAATAGAGAAAGAAAGTGAATAAAGTTTGACCCTGTGAATAATAAACATGCATTATAATTTGGGACAGAGGGAGTATAAGTTTGAGTGTAATTAATAAGTAAAGGTGAGGGTACGTAATAATCTGGTATAAAGAAAAAACATTTTCCAAAAATGAAAATAAAAAGATAATTTATGGACGAATATATAAGAAAAGTGGGAAAATAAATTAAGAACGGGGAAGTAACATTATCCAGTACTATAAGTGTGAAAAAGTTTGAGAGATGCCTAAAAAATCCGTGAGAATTTAATCCAGAGCGGAGAATATCATAATAATGTAGAGGTGGGTGGGATGCCTATAAACTGAGGTAAGAGGAAGAAATTGAATTGTAAAATGTACAACTTTTTATTATATTAATGCACTAAGGTCTAAAAAAAATGAGCATGACCCTTAAATTCATGTGAGAAATTACCAACGAAAAAAGGTGGAGGAAAAAGAAGAGGAGAAAGAAGAAACTGGGTAGTCGGACAATGAAGAAGAACAAGGATGTTATGAATGTAGTATTATACTCCCTTGGTCCTAGAAAAATATTCCCATTTTGACTATTGTGGGTCTTTTTTTCTCATTTTTTATTGCAAATTAAACATAATTTAAATAAACAAATGTTATAAAAATTTGGTAAATAAAAACTACTCCCTCCATTTTTTAAAACACTTCCTCATTGATTTTTTTTTGTTTTTCCAAAATACTTTCACTTTCTATTAAAAAATCACTTTTACTCATACTTTTTCTTAATAAACCTATCACATCATATTTTTTTACTAATAATTTATCTATCACATCTTATTTTTACCCATCACATTTTTTTTGTTTTCCCACCCAGCATGCTTCAAACCCACCTCAACTCCTTCAATTTTATTTCCAAATATTTGATTTTTGGGTCAATCTTTTTGATCTAAAAGTCTAATAAATTTTGAGAATAAATTGAAGGAGTTGGGAGTGGGTTCAAATAAGATTATATCAACTCATGATACAAATACCCATCAAGCGGACATTCTTTTCCTCCCTCTCTGTATTATTACACTCCGATCCATTGCTTTCTTTCTTAGATTCTTCTTTAATTACCAATTATTCCCAATATAATTAATTAACTTCCTAATTTTGTTTCTCTGCTCCTCCAACAATGTCTCCCCCTTCTTCCCTGTTCTCAATTTTATGCAGCCTCCTAATCCTGCAAGCCCTTTATCTCCTCTGCTCACCACTCGGAGCGGTGGGTTCCAAGGTGGGGGCCCACCGCACCCGCCACCACAACGGCGGAAGTCCTCCAAAGCTCCGAGCAGCGGCTGCGGCGGCCAATTTGAGCTCCTCTTGCTCTCTGTTTCAGGGCAGCTGGGTCGTTGACCAGACCTACCCGCTGTACAAATTCTCCGACTGCCCCGCCCTCATCGACACAGAGTTCAACTGCCAAATGTACGGCCGCCCCGACTCCGACTACCTCCGTTTCCGGTGGAAGCCTGCAAACTGTGAAATTCCCAGGTACCCACCCATTTCTGCCCCGGGGCGAAAGATTTGATCTTTCTTTTTTCCGGCGGTTCTTGATTTTCCGGTGGGGTGTGTTTATTTGTGGTGCAGGTTCGATGGGGTGAAGTTTCTGGAGAAGATGAAGGGGAAGAAGGTGATGTTTGTGGGAGATTCTCTGGGACTGAACCAATGGGAGTCTCTGATTTGCATGCTCTCTGCTTCTGTTCCAGGAACGCAGACAAAGATCTCTCGCAGTGACCCTCTCTCAAATTTTACATTCTTGGTAATTCTCTTTTTTTTTTTTTGAGTTGAATAATTCACATTTATTAGAGTTTTTGTCCCTTAAACTCAATTTCACATCTTTACCCTTTGAGACATGAAGTTCCATTTATACCCTCTGAGACTATCTTTTTTTCTTCTTCTGAAATGATGCAGGAATACGGGGTAACGGTGTCGTTTTACAGAGCGCCATACCTAGTGGACATAGAATCGGTGGAGGGGAAAAAGGTCCTGAAATTGCAGGACATAAGCAAGAATGGGTATGGGTGGAGGAATGTGGATGTCCTTTCTTTCAACACTGGCCATTGGTGGGTCCACAAGGGCTCTCTCCAAGGGTGGGTAATACCCATTTTCATATCTTTATCTTTTAGAATACAAAAATCATTTCTGAACAAGTCTTTGTTGAATCGGTTTCTTGATAAGAGGTTTGAAAATACTCTATATATGACATCAAAGCTCACACTATCAAAGACGATATTGTATGTAAAGAACGTTCGAAAACACGTACGAATGGTGTCAATCATGATCTAGCTCGTGGTGTGACGATAAACATTATATTAAAAAATCTAACGGAATAATTTTTTTGCAGGTGGAATTACATGGAAAAAGATGGGGTTTTGCATGAAGATATGGATAGGTTGGATGCCCTTGAGGAAGGGTTGAGGACATGGGCCCGTTGGGTTGATTCGAATCTCGATCCAACTCGAACTCGCGTCTTTTTTCAAGGAATCTCTCCCACCCACTACAAGTATGTCAAATGTTATCGTAAAGCTATTTGCCATTTCTCTCGATCATCTCGTATAAAGTTTATGGTGTGATAAAAATTATGAGTATTAAACAGTCACGTTCATCTCCTCCACTAATCACGTAGGAAAATATAATGTACTACCTCTTAGATTTTTTTTTATCAATTTCTGATTTTTTTCATTCAAAACTGGTAAGTTTTAACTACGAATTAAATAAAAATGATATTAGTCATTAATACAAAATGATTTTATCAGATTTATTTTATAAAATAGTTTCAAAATGTTATTTTATCAAATCAATATATCACATACCCCGACCATATTTTATTTCAATATACATCAAAAGTTTAAAATGATTTACTGCAAAAAGTCAAAACTGTACATTTTTAATGAGTTAGCAACATAGCATAATACAACTAGTACACCTAACATAATCTTGCATACTCCGTATATCATAGTCAACAAAAGAAAATTGGTGAGTTTTGTCAATAAGGTAAGAGTAGGTAATAGAAAGACAAAATATGTGGCGTCTAAAATGACATCAGTTACTTATACACCAGTTGCCTACACCAGTTCATTTAGGATACCTACGGTGCTACGTTTGTAAAAGCGATGGTTCCTACCCCCTAACCCTCCCCCTAAACCCCCCACCCCATCCCCACCCTTGCCCCCCACCCCAGCCCCCTCCTGACCCCCTCCCTACCCTACCCTTGCCGGAGTATATTCATATTCCGTATTTGTTTGAGTTTTAAATATTTTTTCTAATCTACTTAAAAATGAATCACAAAATATTGTTATGAAAGACTACTACTCATATAAAACAAGAGTAGATGGAAGCCAGTAGGGCAATGGGCCCTGTTTTGTTTATGTCTCTTTCTTGTTTTGGTTTTCTTTGAATTAAGTAGTGACACTCTTCGAACTGAAATTAAACATAATCTAAACAAATAAATGATACGAAAATTTGATATATTAAAATTATATCTTAAGATGAACCTAATTATATTGAATTTAAATTATAATTAAATTATTTTTTTCATAATTTGTAGTTAAAGAGTATCACTGTTTAACTAAAAAAATTAAAATAGAAAAGATTTTTAGGAGGGGAGTGAGTAAATTATAATGCCAGCAGCCCAGCACTATGAATATTGGGAGTTTCTCTTTTGCCGAATCCACCAGTCACATGGCAGGTACACCTAATTCATATTTTTATAATCCTCCTCATTTGGGAGTAGTAAGTATAATAAATAAATAAATTAATAAATAAATGAATGAATAAATAAACAAACAAACTCGTCCATTGGGGAAAAAATATTATTTGCCCATTATATTTCACCTAAGACGCATGGGCTATTTGAGTATATTTGCCCACTATAGATGTTAGGGTTCCCACATTGATTTTTTTTTTTAAAAAAATTACTACTCTCTCCGTCCTAAAACTATCTCCCCGTCTGTGTTTACGAGGTTTGACCGACTTTATTTTCAATTTAATTTATTTGATTGTAGGTGTAAAATTAAAAAATAAAATTTATATTTTTAAAAACTAAATCAAAAGTTCTACAAAACAAGAGATGACAAGGCAATATTATTTTATCAAATAACTAACGAAAATAGGTAAAGAAAGTAATTTAAGTTTGATTGTGTAAATAGTACTACCTCCGTCCCACTCTTTTTGTCCAGTTTTGACTTTTGAAACTGTTCATCTAAGTACTTTGACTCATCAAATTCTCTCAATGTGTAAGTCTAAAAATAGTCATGTGTGATCTTGTTTGATTTGTCTTAACATATAGATTATTAATATATAATTTTTATAATTTTTTAATATATAAATTACAAAATAAAATGGATTAAAGAAGTGCATTGGATGATGTGCAAAAATGAAAGTGGACAAAAAGAGTGGGACGGAGGGAGTAACTGGGAAGATAGTTTTAGGACACAGGGAGTAGCATATTAACTTTTGAGTCAGAAAATGGAATCCGACTTTATATGCAAATGGTTAAGTTTACTCGAGACTTTGTCAGTTCTTGTCGGCTCACCGAGACACATAATCTTTATTTTTTTAAAAAAAAATGAGGGAAAAGTGTAAAGTTTTTTTGGGATGACATTGAAATGATCATTGACAGCCCTCGCGAGTGGAGCGCGGGAACGGAGGCGGTGTCAAAGACGTGTTACGGCGAGACGACCCCGACGACGCCGAGAGCCGGGGGGGCCTACCCGGGGACGTACCCGGAACAGATGAAAGTGATCCAAGGAGTGGTTGGGAGCATGAGCCACCCCACATTCCTTCTGGACATATCACTCCTATCAGCCATGAGGAAAGATGCACACCCTTCCATATACAATGGTGATCTCACTCCCGCTCAAAGGGCCAATCCTGACCGTTCATCTGATTGCAGCCATTGGTGCCTTCTTGGCCTCCCCGATACTTGGAATCAACTGTTTTATACTGCCCTTTTCTCTTGAAAGAAACAAAAAAAAAAAAGTGTTCAAACTTATATTACACACACACACACACACGATGTAATTCATCTATCATTGTTCTCGTCAATCAAGCAATTGTATGTTATCTATCATAGTCAACGGATGGATTGGGCTTTGGTTGTTTAATGTTCGGCGCGGTGTGAAATGGGTAAAATAGGATGACATGGGAGACTAATAATGTTTTAAGGTAGTGTTTGGTAACTAGCATTTCATTTCAATTCATGCATTTTAGTTTCAAGATTTAAAGTTTAGAATTTCAAATGACAAGGAGAGGTGCATGGATTTCAAATTAATCTTTTTTATGAATGAAAGGAATTTGACTCAAATCCAAATTCAAAATTTTTGAATTTTCCAAAAATGGGATTTGAGTCAAATCCGAATTTGAAATTCAAATCCATGTTTTCAAACATGCTATAAGAGAAAAGTGAATCAAAAAGAGAACAAGAGACAACATTGTACATTAGGGAGTACTCAGTAATATAATACGGAGTAGATAGGAAATAACATAACTTTGACCCTACTTTTGACACTAAAGATAAAACATAAACACTTACACAGAGACAGTTATTAGTACACAGCAGCAGGAAGGGTTTTTGGCATCCCCACAGTTCCCTATTCAAGAAAAACAGGACATGTATCTTAAACCATGCCCCCCCCCCTCCCCCATGATAAGGCTTAGGCTATCTGTTTTATTTTTTGAGTGACACAAATACCTACACACCCTAACGACACAGAATGCAGCACTTCATCTAAAAGACATGCTGCTAGTATTTGCTGCCGGCCCCCCCAACCTCTCTCACATGTTAGCTCTGTATCGCGAGCTCTGGGGCTGCTGCTGAGACTCCCAGCATCCTCTTCGGCACACCTCCGAGGATGTTCTTATCAGATCCCAAGTTCCCACCATTCACTCCCCTTGGGCTGCCCGGGTATGCCGAGTTATGAACACCTATGGCTGCCCTCCCAGAAGGGTCAAGATTCTGTGACCACGAAGCGTCCCATTCCACTGCCTTAGCCGTGCTGCATGCCACACTGGCTCCTCCTGGAACTGTCAGCCTCGCCGCGTTCTGGCAGATACATATAAATAAGTACATGGTCAAGAATCAAAACACGAGTTGAATGGGTCTGGTCTGTCAGAGATCATTTACCTGTGGGAAGAACCTCTCGAAGATCATTCTGTAGTAGTAACCTTCTTTGGAAGTTGGGGGGTTATGTGTGAAGATATGTTCGGCGTTCAGCATCATTTTGTCTGTCACCTGTTTGTGAAAGAAAAAAAATCAACCATTTAATGTTAGAAACATAGCAAAAAGTTTGGTGAAATATGAAAGGGATGTTGCTCACATGCTCTTCAGCATGAGCTTTGAGCCCATCAATCCAACTATATCCCACACCATCACTGAATTGTTCCTTCTGCCTGTACAAAATATGCTGTTGGCAAGCAAAAATAAAACCTTCGTCAGTGGAGAAAGTAGAGCTAATTAAACTAAACTGAGCCTAACAACTAGGTATATCCACCACTCAAGAGTAGGGTAAGGGGGCAGGATATATGTACACTTCACCTCTACTGCTAAGAGTAGAAAAGTGTTTCGGACTGAACCCATTTTCAAAGGATGAGACTTGTCCCACTTTAGTTCTATGAGCAACAACTGATGGGTTTATAAACCAAATTGATCATCCCACCTGACACACTAGTCTTTTGAGATGAGTTCTCGTGTTTGGTCTATATAACATATGGTATCAGTGATAGCCCACAAAGTGGTGGCCTGGTTGTGCCAGCCATGATAAACATAGACGTTTGCCCTTAAAGAGGGCCGAATGTTACAAACTGAAACCATTTGCAAGATACGAGACTTGTGCCATATCGATTGCATGGGCAAGAAATGAGGGGTTTATAGACCAAATGGGCTCTTTGAGCAGACATACTAGTATTTTGGGATGACTTCTCATGTTTGGTGAGGGTATCCGACAAAGTGACAAACAGACTGGAGAGTGACATGTAGTGTGGGAAGTGGAAAAAAAACCCATAGAAGGGCTCTACGTTAAGTATAAGAACTCACAGACAGTGTAACAAAATTGAGGGGATAGTTTAGATAGACCTTTGGGAGGTAGGGGTGCTTTTCATCATCAAAAGCCCTTCTGAGAATCCACTTCTCGATGCGTCCCTCTTCTGGTTTTATCTGAATCACAAATAGGAAATAGTTCAATCCAGAGAGATTGAGCCATAGCAAAAGAACTGTGTAGATTGGATTTGGATGCAATTCTTACCATCTTCCATTCAGGATCAATGTCCATGGCAACATTGATGAAATCCTTGTCCAGAAAAGGGACTCGAGCTTCTAAGCCCCATGCAGATGTTGCCTTGTTCGCTCTAAGGCAATCATACTGGTGAAGTGCCTTTAACTGCATAAGCAATTCATTATAATCATGTTCAAGAAAAAAATTAATTCAAAAATTCATTTTCCCAGACATTTGATCTTTGGTCACCTTGCGACATGTCTCCCTATGGAATTCCTCCTTGTTGGGTGCCTTGTGGAAGTACAAGTAGCCACCAAAAACTTCATCTGATCCTTCCCCAGATATAACCATCTTCACCCCAAGAGACTTAATCTTGCGCGACATTAGGAACATTGGGGTGCTTGCCCTTATTGTCGTCACATCATAAGTCTCCACATGATAAATAACATCCTCAATTGCATCAATACCGTCCTGCCATAAGTCATAAACCCTTTAGAACACCCACTGTAGTTCATCTCACAATCAACCCCCTCTGTCTTCTTTTTCATGTCATTTCATCATATCCATAAAATACTTTTGGTTTGCTATGTACCTGTACTGTGAAGTGGAACTCGTGATGAACAGTTCCCAGATAATCTGCAACTTCTCTCCCCGCTTTCAAATCTGGGGAGCCCTATTCGGTAACAAGAAAAAAAACATTAACTGAGAACTAAATAGTATCAGTTAGAAACATAAATTGATACTGAACTTAAAACAATTGAGTTAGACCTCCAAACCAACACAGAATGAATGCAGCTGAGCTCCCCATTGCTTAGCTGCTTTCGTCCCAGCCAAGTGGCGAGCCGTGATTGATGCAACTAATGATGAATCAAGACCTCCCGAGAGAAGAACTCCAAATGGAACATCAGTCATCAACCTCTTTATCACAGCCTGCAAAAAATAAAGTTTCCTAAGCAATCACAGTGATATATAATCATAGTTCTTCCCCTTCCATCTAAAACATGAATACGGTCTCACATTTTCAAGGGCACGCCGAAGAACCAAGGGTTCATAAGGAGTTGATGGAATAGCCTCAGAGAACCATGGAGGATTGTACCACCTTCTGAAGCCACCCGACTTGCTCGAGTATAGGTGTCCCGGTGGAAACACCTCAAAGTGCTCACAATCATCATTTAAGCCCTTCAGTTCAGATGAAACCCAAACAGATCCTAAGGCAAACGCAACAAAGCAAAGGCAAAGATTGAGCAAACCCCATATTTGGTAGTTTCTCATTTTGTTTTTTAAGTGTGTATATGTTTAGTTCCAGGGTATATACCATCAAGTCCCCAGCCAATATAGAGGGAGGTGATCCCAATAGCATCGCGAGCGATTATAAAACTACTGTCGCGGGTGTCCAGTAATACAAAAGAAAACATCCCATCAAGCATCTCCACAAATTCCTCTCCATGTTCTTCATACTGAATAACACCACCAAAATGACTTTGTCATTTCATCTTTGAATGAATTACCCACAAAGGCAAGGGTTGATCTGTTTTCAAAATCGAATCTATAGGAATACTGTGAGCTCTTTCCTTAGACTATTACTCCCTCCGTCTCACATTAAAGTTCATAGTTTCACTACTGTAATTTTGAGTTGACCCTAACATTATTAAATGACCCTCAAACCTCAACTCCTCAAGGATCATAATGGTTTTGTTTTTAAGTATGTTTTTAACATTTATTGATTCTTACGTAAAGCTATTAGTAGTCAAAATATTACTCCGGAGAACATTATATACACAAAGGAGGGAGTATAATGATTTAGTATAATGTGTGAAATAATTAACAAGCTAAGTCGACTCACGAGATGTGCAATAACATCGCAGTCACTACCCGTGAAGAACTTGTGGTTTGGCAAACTCTTCCTTAGTGTCTCATGGTTATAGATCTCTCCATTTACCTAATTGAACATAACATCCTCATCATCAGTAAAAAGAAAAAAAAAACATGCATGTCTACCCTAGAATTGCTCAAAAACCATTGAGTGAACAAACATGTAATTACAGAAATGAACCAACCATCACAATAATCTTCTTGTCCTCATTGTAGAGAGGCTGGTCGCCGGAGGCAGGATCGATGACGGCCAGGCGTTGGTGGGCCAGGTAACAATCCCCGTGCTGAAACAGCCCACTCCAGTCAGGTCCGCGGTGCTTCAACCTGTTCCATCGGTTATAAACGAACAGACAAACAATAATCAAATCGCAATCCCTAACAACCAAAATCGATCTCCAGAAGAAGACAAAAATTCACAACGGGAATCTGGAAATTGCCTGCGGGAGAGCTCGAGAACCCGAACCCGCTTGCGCTGGGAGTCATCGGAGCAACCCAAAACGGCCAGGATTCCACACATCGCTATACAGGGAGAGCTATTAGTGCGTGTCAGTTTAGTGAAGAAAGAAGAAGAAGAAGAAGAAAGGGGCGTAGAAATTGGCGGGTGAAGAAGATGAATAACTGCGCCCGAAATTCGGAGAAGTCGTTAAGCTTTGAGTGTATATATATATATTGTTGATTCGGTGAGATGGCGCGTATTTATAGGCTCTCGGAGGATGGCTCCATCAACTGACCACTTTCGTGTGGCGACATTCCACCGCTTCCTCTTTTGGATAAACTTTTGTGACAATTTCCTAATCCAAACTTTCATAATAATTACTCTCTCTCAAACTTTATTTGTTTTGATCATCAAACAATGACATTATTTGACTATAAGAGCAGTGCAAATGCTCCTAATGCTTACCGGTGTGATGGTGCTTTTCACGCCCTGAGGGCGTTAAACACTGCCCCCCAGCGGCATAGCCGTTACCCACCCCCAAATGGCTATATAGCTGTTATCCCCCCCCAATTAAAAAAATTCAAAATTTAAAAAAAACTTATAAATTCCCCTAAAAAAAGTCATTCTCTCACACATTTTTTTCTATCTTCTCT